TTTTTCTTTTCTAACTTTAAATGTGTGTGTGGGTGGGGGGGGGGATTCGTAAGAGTGCTACAAGTGTTGTGTCAAAGGTTCTGGGAATTTGTGCACAGGTAGCTAATTTAAGGGGGCATATTGGTTTATACATACATTTTTGTGTCTGTACAGGGTTGGTTTTTTCTATGGGTTCTGTTTTTGTTTATTTGTTGTTGCTGTTGCTGTTTGTTTTTGTTGGGGGGGTTTTTTGGTTGTTTGGTTGGGGATTTTTTAATTATTTTTTTGGGGGGGGGTATCTTAATAAAGTAGTTTATCACTTAGGTTAGAGTCCATCATGGAGTTTTTTCGAACGATAAATAAAATTTCATTTTTAAAAAAATTTCAGTCTTTCTAAAGTACATAAATGATAGAAAAAAGCACAGCTGAGCTTCTCGCTGAACCGAAATTTACAAAAACAACTCTGAATATTCCCAAATGTAGCTTACCTCATTATAGAAAGTAAACAGAAGAAGCCCCAGTCAAAACGCTGGTTTGAATAATTCGTATCCTAGAAATTATTAAAATGTGGTGCGTATGGCACGGACAGCTCTTACTTTGATTGGAATGTCATGTTTGTTTGTTGTTTTATGTTTTGTTGTTTGTTTGTTTTGGGTTGTTGTTTTTGTTATTTGTTTGGGTTTTTTGTCTCGTTTTGTTTGTTTGTTTGTTTGGGGTGAGGGTTCTTGTTAGTTATGTGGGGTTTTTTTTGTTTGGTTGGGGTTTTTTTTGTTCTTTTTTGTCTTACGTATATAATACGGCACTTTTAAAGTATGTAATTTGAAATTAAAAAAGAACTTTTTTGCATTTAGTACACTTTTAATTGAGCAGAAATGTTTGAAAGTATAAAGAATTCTTAAAAGTTTGTTGTTGTTCTATTTTTTTTAAAACGGATGATAGCAGTGAAACCTCTGAGTTTTGTTAAACATAGTGTGTCGTATTCAGTTTTAAGGAGCGTTGCTCAAGCTGCAACAGGGAAAGTCATGACACATTTTCTAGCACATGGGACAGATGCGGAGACATATATTTTAAAGGTGAAATAATAGTGTAAACAATCCTATAACATATTTGATTACAAGGACAGCTGGCACAAACATTTTGTGAAAAGAACCGAAATTACAGGGATATGATTATTAAGCTTATATATGGTGGAAGTTCTGAAATGCTGTGAAAGGTCAACCCTTCTTCCAATACGGCTGTGAACGCTAGACAATCACTAAAGCAAATAAAATGGAAGCAACAGAAATATGGTGTGTTTTAGGAGATTGCTGAGAATGTCTTGGACGGAAAAGAAATCAAATGAGGTAGTATATGAACTTGAGAAAGCCCACGTAGGTCGCTCGCGAATAAAAACAATCAGGAAAAGACAAAAACAGTTTCTGGGACACTTGTATAGAATTAAAGGCCTTGAAAATATTAATAGGTCTCATTGACAAGATTAAGGTCAAACGAGGCAGGAGTAGACCCAGAGCAACCTACTTGGAGAGCCCAAACAGATGGGTAACGGTGAAAGATCAGAATAATGTAGCTTTTCTGGGAGATTCCAAGCAGAGGAGGAATGAGTGATTATCCGCAATCGCGAATGTTCTTCACAGATCTGGCACTTAATCATCATGAAAATAGCGGAGGGCACTTCTGTTTGGTGAGATTTGTTCTTCAAAAATTTATGAATATCAATGGCACGCAGAGAACAAACCTCTCTCGGTCTGTATCACAATCCTGTAAATGGTTCGATTGTAGCATGTTCAGCTCAAAATATCATTTGGCAATCTAATAGTAGCCTCTGTGGTCTCTTTTTATGCCAAGCTTTTACATAAATATAGTTAAACATGATAAGTTGAAAGTTAGAACGATCTGGGACCGCCATAACAGAAGTTAACTGTGTATGTTTTCTAACATTCTAATATTTTCTAAAAAATAATTTCGAAAATTAAACTAATCAATTCCTAATGTAAGAATGACTAACTTTAAGCATTTTGCGTGTATTTAATTATTTGTTCCTATTTTGGTTTGTGTGTATAAGTATCTGTTCCCGTGTTTGTGTGCATGCATATAACTGTTGAAGACTTTTTCTACGTATATTGTAAATCTTTTGTGTGCGTTCTTTCAGCACTCTCTCTTGAAGGTTTATTGTATGCTAAAATAGCAATGTTACTCAGAAAATGTAGTCAAGATATACACATAGACAATGGTGGACCTGCACTATTTTTTGGTCAATTATCAGAAATATCTAAGCATTTGGGGTCTTGTTATCCTAGTAAATTCATGATGAATTGGTGTTGACTGAAAACGAAACTGGTTTTGAATGAAGGCAAAATACGATCTCAGTGGGTGATAAGAAAAAGGGGATAGAATAAATAAAAAAGAAAGTACACAAATGTATATTTATATATCTACGTTTTGACATTCCGATTGTTACTTGCTATTGCATTTAATCGTGGGAAATTAAACAAATTCCTTATGAGATATAGGGCCAAAAAATATAGTCGTAAGGTCCATTTGTTCTGCTTTGTTTATCATTAAAAGAAATATTAAACAACACAGTCAGAGAGAGGTGATAATAAAATGTGAAGCATCTTATTGTATCCTGGGCATTTTGAATGGTGTTTTGTGAGTTGCAAATGTGTCCTTATTGTGAAGTATTGAATGAAAAACAATGATGAACAGATTCTTTTTATTTTACTTTGATATTTAAGGTATTTTGTTTAACGTGACGTGGCAATGTTTATATAGCAGTTATTGGAGCGTTTAACAGCTCACATTGGCTCCGTGTGTTCGTTGAACTAAACAATGAAATCCACCCGCCTCCCCAGGGATCTCCAGGACCAAGAGGCCCGCCCGGATCCAAAGGAAACTCGGTGAGTTAGTGACTGTTTTATTGATACTTTACTATACTGTGTTCTTTGGTTCTTGGCTGATACCTTACTATACTGGGGTTGTATTTTTGTTTTGCCTTTGCTTTATACTTTACCATGTTAGTGTTCTTTGGTCGTTGGCTGAGACTTAACTATAAAGTGTTCTTTAGCCCTTGGCGGATACTTAACAGTGTTTATTGGCTATTTTTTACTCTAAATAATAATTATGTTCTTTTTTTGCCATTAGCTGATACTCAACTATGTCCATTGGCCATTGACTGATACTTAACTACATAGTGTTCTTTGCCCATTGGCTGATACTTAACTATGTTCTTCGGGCCATACGCTAACATTTAATTGTGTTATTTCGACTTAGGCTGATACGTAACTCTGCACTTTGGCCATTTCCTGATACGTTAAACTATGTCCATTGGCCATTGCCTGATACTGAACGATTTGAAGCCTTTGGCTGTTACTTAGCTATGTTATTTGGCGTCAGGCTGAATCTAAACTACATGTATGTTCATTGGCCGTTAGCATAATTTATGTCATGGTATAAATGTTACAGCCTCTCTTTTAGGGTTAAGATGAAGAAAACGATTGAAGTATCTGATTCAAGAACAAATTTATTCTTGCATATTTTTTATTTGAAATGCCCGAAAACAGCAAGTCCCCCACAAGTCAACTTTTTATTCAACTATTACTCTGATGATATTGCCTGTTACGGCTATGTATCCCC